GGTAGAGAGAGGTTAAGTGACTTGCCCAAAATCACATCGACAGTAAGTGTCTGAAGCTGGATTTGAACTCAGTTTTTCTTGACTCCAGGTCCAGAACTCTATCCATCTATGCCACTTGGCTGCCTCCTACATACATCTAGTTCAATAACATTTCATATCAGTTATAATACACAAAATATTACTGTTGAATAAAACCTATAAACCCTGGCTTCAAAAAAATGTTCTATATATTCCAACATCACAATTTTATTAACATTTTATTTTATATGTTATTAACGTATATATCAGTTTGGAATGAATTAAAATATTCTTAAATTAAAGAACCCATTCTTCTTATAGCTCTCTTCTATCTATAAGAAGCTCTTTTTAAAACTGGAACCTAACTTTTAAAAATTCTTAGTAGTTTGTAAAATCTTGATGTTTTAAAAGCTCTTAGAATATGAGAATGGTAAAGTGTAGATATTAATTCCTCTATATCATATCAGATCTCTCAATCTTCATGAAAAAGATAAACATTATTACATAATGGTTATAACGATGTAAATAAACCGCCATAAAACAATCCAAAGTGAGTATTCACAATTACAAAGAACAGGCATGGTCCCAAAAAAGAGGTGAGAAACAGCCCCAAGACCACTCCTTGACAGAGGCTGGGAGTGGCAGGGGCAGGAACATACAAACAATAGGTGTGGAACACTGCATTTGAATTCAGACTTTTTTTGATTTATTGATCTGTTTTGCGGATTCCCTTTCACCTCATGCCTCTTTTCTGTAAAAAAGAAAAAAAATTCTACATAGGATGTCCTTATGAGAATGGGAAGGAGAGAGACACTAGAAGTTTAGTGATACAAAAACAAAAACAAAAGGTATTGCTTTTAAAGAAAAAGATAAAAATTTAAATTTAAATTTAATTCGTCATGTCTAAACCACTGTCAGACTTAGGCTGAACAAGATCAACATGCAAATAATTTAACTGACTCAAAAACAGACACTGGATCTTAGCCAGACCCCAAATGGTGATGAGTCAGTCATATGGCAGATCTATCTGCCACTCCTTTGAGAAAAGTCTTCAGTTAGTACAAGTGACTAAGCTAGATCTCCTCCTAAGCCTTAGGCAGAGTCCATCTTTTTTTTTTTTTAAATGAAAGGAAACTGGATGTTTTGTTCCTTTCTGTTCTGGCACAGTGGCAGTAATGATTCAAGACCTGTAAATTTCAGTTTAAAGAGCCAAAAGGTTATTTTACCCATCAGAATTTAGTATTTGAGTGAAACTTAAAATGATATAAAACATTCAGTCTTGAACTTAACAAATAGAGCCCCTCTGAATATATTTTGAGGAGATGAAATACACTTCTGCTTTATCTCCAAAGTATATTACATGGTTGAGGGTAGGGACAAAAGGGTGGGAGAAGAGGGGAAAAGGAGATTGGCAGGTGGTATAATTTAGCCTGTGGTATACCATAGTGGTATATAAATCAGAGTATAATAGAATTTTACGTCATTTTGCATTACAATGGGCAGGACCAATAATTTACTAAGTTACTCAATAACGAACCTAAAATATTAATAAGAAATTTGTCTTTGCTAGCAGGTGAATGATGTGAAATATGCTTTTTTGAAGTTAGGCATTATTATGCTCAAAATATTTTTTTTGTGCTTTGTCTATAATACAAATACCTATGTCTCAAAGAAAATCACTTACCTTTCATCTTTGTTTTGACGTATGCATCCTTCAATAATTTCCTTTACTTCAGGAATTGCTACTTTGTCAAAGCTGGCTGGCTTCACCCCCTGAAATACATATGAATATGAATAGTCAAATTCGGAGAGCATTGTAGAGAAACAAAACATAACTTTTCAAATATTATCAGTCTGTTTTTTTCATGCAAATACACTTAGCTGGTTTTGGTTTCTTCCTAAAACCCTGTATCTTGCCTTCTTTAGAAAAATCTACTTCAGAAGCAAATTATGGTGCTGGAAGGGGAAAACAGAAACTCTACCTTCCTGGCTTTCTTGTGATATGCTTGCAGGGGTTAAGCCATACAGGGTCAGAGCTGGATAGCTGCAACTCCAGCTCCTCCCTAGAAAACAATCAAGGAGAATTAGATAGTGGAGTCACCTACCGCCATGTGGCTCTTGCCATTAATGATGAAGCACTATCCTCTCTATGTGACTATGTAAGAATTCAAGATTAGCTGTATTAACAGTATCTTTTGTGCTTTCGGTAAAGGAAGTAATTGGGGAAGAAGAGTACAAAGATTTCATTGGTTGGACAACCCTTGTTCACTAGTACATTAGTCACCAGAGAACTTAATTTTGAACAGCTAACCCATACATAGGCATGAAGTTACATGTTCAATTTTGCAGACACAGTAAGAGAATTCTATTACAATACTTGGTAATACATAGCACGCTAAAGGATTTAGGTTCAAAATGACAACTGAAGAACAAAAAATATTTAGTGTGGGTAAACTACAAACCTAAAAGGGGTACATTGTTTAGTCTGTTTTAAGAGAAAAACCATCTAGTTCATTGGAAAATAGTGATCTAAGGATACCACAAATCAGTGGTGGCAATCAATGTGCAATAAAATGGCAACAAAAGTCTTTCCATAATGAATGTAAGGGCAACTAGGTGGTACAGTTAATAAAGTGCCATGCCTGGAGTCAGGAGGACTTGAGTTCAAATCTGGCCTCAGACACTTACTAGCTGTGTGACCCTGGCAAGTCACTTAACCCTGTTTGCTTCAGTTTTCTCCTCTGTAAAATGAGCCGGAGAAGTGGCAAACCACTCCAGTATATCTGCCAAGAACACCTTAAATGGGGTCACAAAGAGTTAAACAAGACTGAAATGATTAAAACAACAACGAATGTAGAATTTAGACTCAGAGCAGGAAGAGATGTCAGAAAGTCATTTGATACAACCCACACATGAACAAGAATCCTTTCTACAACATATCATATGCAGCGAGGGTACATCTAACCTATTTACATTTTTTTTCTGATATTCAGAATTTTAATTATTCTGAACTTGACAAATAAACACGAACATTTCCATATATAAAGATCTCTATTCTGTATGTTTGTATTTTAAAAATATAATAAATTCTACATGTTTGTTACAAAACTATTTTTCTTGTGTCCCCTTCTGAATTTCATTGTTTTCTGATTTTTTTTCTTCTTCTGACATCATTGTGACGACCCACCCTTAACAAGAAAGCATAGTTAAGCAAAACAAATCCACACATTGAACAATATCTTAAAATGTTATTTCCCTCTGTTGAAGGTGGGAAACATCCTTCATTTTTGGTCTTCTGGAATCATGACTGTTCATTGAATCAATCAAAGCTTGTAAGACTTTCAAAGTTGTTTTTCTTTACAATGTTATGTGGTCCTGTTTATTTCATGCAACTCTTCACAGGCTTCTCTATTCTATGATAGAATAATATTCATTATATTCCCAGAACATAATTTGTTCACATGTTCCCCTCTTTGTTGCCAGCTCTTTGCTTCAACAAAAGGTACTGCTGTACTTTAGTACAAATGACTTTTTGTTGTTCAGTCGTGTCTGACTCTTCATGACTCTGTGTGGGGTTTTCTTATCTAAGATACAAGAGTGGTTTACCATTTCCTTTTCCAGCTCAATTTACAGATGAGGAACTCAGACAAACAGGAAGAAGTGACTTGCCCAGGGTCACACAGCTAGTATCTGAGGTCACATCTGAACTCACAAAGATGAGTTTTCCATAAACTGTGCCACCTAGCTGCAGTGTATATGACTACTTTCCCTTTAAAAAAAAAAAGGCATTTTGGGAATATATGCCAAGGAATGACTTTTTTCTTTTGGATAAATTCACAGCTTTATTAATGATCCATTATGCCTGTTCACCTGTTCCAACAACTGTTATTTTCCTTCCCCTCCTTCCCCCTTATCTTTACCAAACTGCATATGGGGAGGAGTTGTTTTAATTTACATTTCTCTTATTATTTGGAGAATTTTTTCATATGGTTGCTGATAGTTGGTGTGTGTGTGTTCACATCCTTTCACTATTTATACGGGAATGGTTCTTGTTCTTACATATTAAATTGGGCTTTTATCATAGAAACTTAATGGCAAAGATTATTCCAATTAACTGTTTTTTCTTCCTAACATGAACTGTACTGATGTTGCTTGTGCAAAACCTTTTCAGTGTTATTTAGTCAAGATTGTCCATTTTTATCTCTATGGTTAAGAAACTCTTCCCATACCCAATTTTGTGAGAGTTACCGCCTCTAATTTTTTTTAATAGAAACTTTTATATCTAGGTTCTGTTATCATTTGGAGGATGCCGTAGTATATATTACAGAATTTTGGTCTTAAATATTTTTTGCCAGAGTGCCTCCAAGTTTTACTACCAGTTATTTGTTGAATAACGAGTCCTTATCCCAGTAGTTGGGATCTTTTGGGTTTATCATACACTATTGTACTATAATCTAGTCTCTTCTTGCTCTCTGAGACCAAGTAGAACAATCTAATTCCTCTTCCATATGAAAGCTGTACAACTACTTGAACACAGCTTATCATGTCTCCCCTGAATTTTTTTTTTCCAGGCTAAACATACTCAGTTCTTTTAACTGATTCTCATGGACTGATTTAAGGGTTCTTCACCATTCTGGTTTCCTTCCTCTGAACGCTCTTTAGCCCCTTAAAAAAAAAGCTATTGGCAGAACTGAACACAATAAGCCAAGTGTGGTCTAAAAGTCTTGCTGTACTCTGATTTGATCAATTCTCTTAATTCTAGATATTATTAATTTCTTAATGTGGCTTGTGACTATTAAACTTCTTTGGCCATCCTTTCTTTTTGTTTCCTTTTTTCCTGCAACAAAAATAAAAAGTAAATATGTGTGCTGTGGGGGTGGCGGGGGTGGGGAGAAGAAGGTGTAAGACAGTGGTGTTTTACTTTTTTTCTACCTTCTTCCCCTTACTAAAGGTATCTTTTTTGGGAGGCCAGATCTGTAAGTTAATTGTTATTAATCAATTGTTAATCTGTTAGTTAATTTTTTGGGCCTAGATCTGTACTTAAATCTGTAAATTAATCTCTTGTTCATGCAAATTAGCAAGTGGTCTGTATGGTCTTAGAGAAGCTTAAGTCATCTGAGAGGTTAAGTGATTTGCCTCAGAGTCAAACACCTAGTATGTAACAGAGGTAGGACTTGAATTTAGGTGTTCTTGACTCTAAAGTTAGCCTCTAGACAAGGTGCCTTTCATTAAAATGATATTACCTAATAAGTGAAGTAGAATGATGGCCCAAATCATGTCTTACCTATATAATGTAATGTCTTGAATATGAAACGAACGTGCTTAGAAGTAAAATATATATACATATAAATAATTTAGACTTCACTTGTTTGTGGTATGAAAATAAATTTAAAATTGAGTAACTAATACTTATTTACATGTGTATCTAACATTGAAAAAGCACTTCAAAATGCTGGTATCAAAGTCAGATAAATGCCCATTAAACTGATTTTTAGTCATCACTGACTCAATTTTTCATCAAATTTGACATGTGACATTTTCTGACTGTGACAACATCTCATTGAAGTAAAAAACTGTTACAAAAAAAATTAAGTCTTGCAACACAACTAATCTCAAAATCTATGCATCTAAAGATTTACTGAGTTTGATCAGATGATTTCTACCTTCCCAGACAGTCAAAACTCTCAATTTACTTATTTTCACATGATAACTTAATTCCAATCCAGATTAGATTAAAAATCATATCTAAGCCAAAAAGGTAATTTAAAATTGTTTTAAAATCAATCTTGTAGGAGAGTGGCCACAAGAATGAGGATCTCTACAAGAAGAGAGTCTGCTAGACACTGCTTGAACAGCATTCAGACCAGAAAACCACCAGATGATCTCCAGAACACCAGTCAGCTGTGTTAAAGGAGACTTTCTGAAGTCTTAAATGGACAATTTATCATTACTTTTGGGTCTCCATATCCGTACTTATTAAGGGAACTGCCCCCTTTTGATTTGTCAATGTGTCGATCAATTTCTCCCTCCCTTCTCCCATATTGTTATAAGTCCCCCAAACCCCTTGATGAAATGTTGCCCAACAACACAACCCCAGATGGAACCATTACTAAGCCATAGCAAGGTCTAACCACTTTAGCTGAAGAACTGGCAGCGAACTCCTGGGATAGATAATTCATTAACAGGATGGTTAGAATCATGGTTTGGCAAGGGAAAAGGAATGGCAATCTCTATCTTGATATCTGTAGGCTGTTGCATAATACTTTGTATAAGGGGGTTGGTCCTGCTAGATGAGGAGACTGAGGTGAACACTAGTTATGATAAATAATGTTATCAAAACTAGAATCTTCTTATGACATAATGAAACAAGATGCAGGTGCAACAAAGAGTAAATAAAAGAAAAAGAGGGGATTGTAGAAAATGTGGTTGGGGATGATGCTTCTGCATATCACTTATCAGAGTGTGACTGCTTATGTGACAGTACATTCAAGGCCACTTAAAATTGGCAACTTGACATTTGAGAAACATAAAAGAACTCAAAGAATGATTGCAGGCCTTCCCTCAAAAAGACAGAATAGGATTAGATTCATAATAAATACCACTACCAGCAGCCAAGGACTATTAAAAGTTGAAAGAACTTCTGAGAAACATCAAAATTAATATACAATTATATTTTGTACCTTGAGACAATTTCTGGGTAGAGGAAAGTGTAAAATCATTCACTTTTTACATTGCTGGGGCACCTAGGTGGCACAGTGGATAGGGATGGGCCC